ACCATGTGAAGAAGCGCAAAAGAAAAGTAATTTGATTCTTTTGTTTTGCGCAAATGAAATTCGTAAAGTGCATTAACTTGCATTGGAATTTCATTATTTAGTATTTCGGGTAATTATTAAATAATAATAATAAATTCATATTTTTAAATTAATTGAAATGCATATTAAGCATATTTATATGAAAATTACTAGGCGAACATAATATTCAGGTAGGTTAGTGTTTAAGTTAGAATAAGTATATATACTGTACAAATTTAATAAAGAATTCAGATTCAAACAGAACATTGAGTCTCGCTTATTATGTTATTCAAGTTGCCTAGTTGCAACCTAGTTTTATTCGCCTCGTTGCGAACAAGAAAGGCGCCTCGCTGCGCTAGGAAAAACCAAACATAACTATATCTATCCAAACTTATTACATGGCGATCTTGGCCAATTAAGATCCTGAGATCTTAAGACCAATAAAGATTCTGAGATCTTTAGACCAATAAAGATCCTGAGACCTTTAGACCAATAAAGATCCTGAAATCATTAGAGAATTAAGTAGAACTTAATTCAGATTTTAGAGATGATTACTTTGAAAGTATATTTTTTTTGTCCAGCATAACCTTTGATGTTATGGTTGCGAACAAATTATACTACAATTCCTATGTCTACAACAACAATTACTACAATAATAATGACAACAAAACCAAGATTAAAGGCAATATTGAAGATGACCGAAACAGCCGTTGACAAAAGCGAATGTATTGCAGAAAACACAATAGTTGAAGCGGCAACAATACAGCTAACAGCAACTAGAATGCCAGCAACTTAACCGTATGATACATCAAATGTTGCAAATTCCAAAACTCTAGCAAATTTTATAGCAAGAAAAAATAAAATGCATAGCGGTCCAAGAAGTTACAATAATGGCGACTGGACACTTAAGAATTACGAAGACATGCACTACGTCAATCAACGATACATTAGCAAAGACGACAGCACCAACGAAAATAATGACGAAATATTAAGAGAAAACTGCATGGCTCAAGTGCACATAACGTCAGATGAACCGAAAGTTTAAACCAATTACGAAATTGCACTTCTATGATGACAGCACAATTCAGAACAAAAACCATGATAATTATTACAGAAACTAATCAAATAGAAAAGAAGAAAAATAATAAAAAATATTTATAATGTTAAGTCTAATTGTTTTCCAACTTTTAACTTCTTTATTATACCTTGACATCTACCCATGCCAAATGTTTTAATAAATTATACAAATTACTGATATATCAATAAGGATTTAATTCCGAACATGTTAAAATGTGTAGATTATAATTTATTATTATTATATAAAAAAAAAAAAAATAATAATACAAAATTATTTTATAGAATGTAAATTAATACATTCAAAAATATGTACGAAACTTAGGCTAATAATAAAGAAAAGAAACATGAAAAAAAAAAATTATTAAAATAAATTAATAAAGAAACATGAAACAAATTATTAAAATAAATTAATAAAGAAACATGAAACAAATTATTAAAATAAATTAATAAAGAAACATGAAACAAATTATTAAAATTATTAAAATATATTTTAAAATGTTAGAATATTAAAATGCATAATATAACTAACGTGCATATACTCTTAATAGAGTACAACATATATATAAAACAATTTCAATAATAATTGTAGTAATTATAAGTAATTATATGTATACATAATTATGATTATGTCTCGAAAAAAAAAAAAAATTGAACATTTTAACAAGAAACATGAAAAAACAAAATACAATGGTGAATAATAGAAAAACGATTGCGGCAATATATCCATAAAGTCTGATCAACTATATATATGGGATTGCACGTCAATTGCAGAAATAAAACAAAAAAAAAATGTTGCTAAGATAAGGTTCGAACCAATAAAAATAAAAGGATCCTATAATAAATGTAATAAAAATGAAATGACGTCAAAAAAATGGAGTATATCGAAAAAACGATGATACCAGCACTGTGAGATGTAGCGATAATCCATCGAATCTAGATTCGCTTTTGGAGAAGCTCACATCGTTTACGCACAGGCATGATATAAAATTAGTAGCGCTTAAAAATAAAAGGATCCTGTAAAAAGAAATATAATCAAAACGAAATGACGTCAAATATTGAATATATAGAAAAAAACGATAATACCATCACTGTGAGATGTAGCGATAATCCATCGAATCTAGATTCGCTTTTGGAGAAGCTCACATCATTTACGCACAGGTATGATATAAAAATCGTAGCGCTTAAAAATAATGATGAAAATACTCGAGTTTAAAGAAAAATATAATACTTTGCAAAGATTATTAAAGCAACAAGGTCGACTAAAATTAAATATATGTACACACCATTGATAAAAATAACAAAACAAGTAATTATGTTCAAAATAATTCAATAAAAATATACTAATTTAGTATTTTATAAAATATGTTAACAATATGAGACAATCATTAACAAATTAGCTGGTATATAATATATTAACATAATAGGGAAAAATACTCTTGTATCTTATGAAAACTTGCAGCTTTGTGCATATTTAACAATAAATAAGTATGTATTAAAAAATTATTACACAATATATACGTATATACAATTACATATAGATATGTACTATTTGTAAATTAATACCGAAAAGTATATTAACTTAAAAATGTAAAAACAATAATACAAAACCAAAAACAATATAATTAACATACAAAAGTTATTTGAGTATGTAAACTGAATATTATGTACTCCAAAGGATTTAAGAACATATTAACAAAAGTAATTAACAAAAAAAAAATTTTAATTTCTTCAAAAATAAAATAAAAATTTTTTTAAAAAAAAAGGGTAAGGGTGTAGTATATCCACATATTAACAAACAAAATAATTATTTGTTAATGGTAACATGATGATATACGTTACTGGCACATGCCAAAAGCAAAGACATTGATCACACACTTACCATGTGAAGAAGCGCAAAAGAAAAGTAATTTGATTCTTTTGTTTTGCGCAAATGAAATTCGTAAAGTGCATTAACTTGCATTGGAATTTCATTATTTAGTATTTCGGGTAATTATTAAATAATAATAATAAATTCATATTTTTAAATTAATTGAAATGCATATTAAGCATTTTTATATGAAAATTACTAGGCGAACATAATATTCAGGTAGGTTAGTGTTTAAGTTAGAATAAGCATAAATACTGTACAAATTTAATAAAGAATTCAGATTCAAACAGAACATTGAGTCTCGCTTATTATGTTATTCAAGTTGCCTAGTTGCAACCTAGTTTTATTCGCCTCGTTGCGAACAAGAAAGGCGCCTCGCTGCGCTAGGAAAAACCAAACATAACTATATCTATCCAAACTTATTACATTGTTTTTATACTGAAATTTAAATTTTTCCGAGACCGGCTTAAAAACACGTCCGCTCACTAGAAAGTTCGAAAGCTATGAGCTATACTTAAATGAAAAAAAAAATACTTATAACATTATATTTAAATTATGTAAGAAAATATAATTATATATATAAAAAATATATATATATAAATATATATATAAAAAATATAAAAAAAAGTAATTTAGTAGAATATTCAAAATAAAATATTTATTATATACCCAAGATATTATATCCTAGATAAATACGTTGAATTACATACATTGAAATACATTTGAATTATTTATGAAAGAATTTAAAATATAGAATAAAATATTTTATAATTAATTAAAAATATTATTATGATTTTGGTAATTCTATGTAATCTGAATTATATACGCTGTCACTATGCCTTTGTCACTATGCTTTTGTCACTATGTCAGCAATGACTACGAAGTTCATTTGAAGAGCGTCAACGCTCCTCCACAAGGGGGAAGGAATGTTGTGATGCGTAGGGTGTGCAACTACCGGTTTGGCCAAACTTACATATTATTTAAAATTGGCCCGGAAATTAAGTATCGTGTTACAAAACTGTAACAGCGTACTATGCTAAAGGCACTGGTCCTACAACGTGAACGTGGAATGTGCTGATACTACGAAACGTGCCCAGCGAACACGTTACTTTTGAAGCTGATACAAAGAGTGAAAAGTTTTTGTACGATTCGCTCGCTGAACTCCGTGGCTACATGTCGGTATTGCTGCTCGGTTAAATTTTTTTTTTTTTTTTAAAACATACATTTATTTATTGCATCTTCTCTTAAAATGAGACTAACAATAAGTTGTAAAATCTTATAACTAATTACATAATGTTACAAATTTTTATTTTAATTATACATTGTATAAAATAAAATAAAATAAGTAAACCTTATATCACGAACCTCACTTATACGGCGTTTACATTGGCCGAAAATGGGTCATTTTGGTCAAAAATCGAAAATGAGTATCGAATGCCTCATTCTTGCATATAAAATTTCAAGCACAAAATGAGGAATTTTCTCACATTCTGTATGAATGACGTTCGAATGCATTCCACATATGTTCCAAATGCAAAGGAATCTATTGAACATACCCTAAATGAAAGCTCTTCATGGCATTTTGACAGTTTGAAAAAGCTGTTTTGACATATTTATAAAAAAGATAAACAAATGTTTAGTTGTTTTATTTCAGTTTGAATTGTTACCAACCATGAGCAGCGAAAAATTACTGAAAAAAAAACAAGTTGTGTGGCCGCTCGAGGCGGAAAACATTTTGTGTGAACTTTGGGAGGAAGATATAGAAAACCTCCGTGGCAATAGGAGAAATAGCCACATTTATAAAGAATTTCAACAAAAGCTTTCATTGCGTGGAATGGAGGTGTCGGTTAAAGGAATTTCGAACAAAATAAATAACTTGACGAGCAAGTATAAGTAAATTTAATTACGTTTTTTGTATTAATTTAAATTATACATAAAGTATATTATTTATTTATTTACTAGGTTACATAAATTAAATTTTCTATTTATACAATTAAATTTATTAACTAATATGAAACCTAAAATATATTATAGAAAAGAAAAGGCAGCGATGGGCATGTCGGGTGGATCTCCATCTACTTGGCCGCTGTACCATAAGGTACATGCCATATTAGGCAGTTTTAAAATCCACAACGTCGAAACATTGATGGATGAAACTGGACACGAAGATAACGGTATGGTAATTATAATATTTTTCTTGAATTTATAATAAGTAAAGTAATATTGTAGTTTCAAACATTACTTCATTGGCCGAGCCAGCAGTTTTGGAATCAAATGAAGACACAAGTTTTTGTCCATTGTTCGAGTCAGTTGATTTTCTTTATGACGCAGACGCAGCTTCTCCACTGCAGCAACTTAACTCTTCAACAGATACAAATTCCACTGCTGCGGTTGAAACAACATCTTTTGGAGCATCTGCAAAGAGAAGAAAAACAGACAGCATTTTACAGGAGTTACAATTAATGAGGGAGGAAGATAAGAGAAATGAGAGTAACTGGCAGCGTATTGAAGAGCGGCGAAACGATTTGCTGGAGAGATTGGTCAATAACTGTGAAAACTACCAGCAATCTTTATTAGAAGTTTTAAATAAAAAATAATAATAAATAATTATAGTATAGTAAGCATAGCACTGCTAGCATACCGTATTATGTAATATAAATATTTTTATATTAGTATTAAGTATAATAATAAATCATATTAAGTACAGTATAGTAAGTAATATTAATTTAGTAATATTAAGGATAAACAGTAATTAGTAATATTAATAAAAAAAAGATTACCTAAAAATGTAGCAATGGCTGATCTTATATTTTCAGATGTTGGATCGTTGTCAGTTAACAAAGCGGTCCATTCTGGTTGGGGTTTGACGTTATTGGCTTCCCATTCCTTTAATTGATTTTGCCAATTGAGGTTAATTTTGTCACTTCTCTCATTTAAAAAGTTGTGTAGGACACAAGCACTTTTTACAATTAAATTAACATTATCAATGTGGTTGTCTAGTCCCTTTCCAATTCTTCTGAATCTTGCTTTGAGGTGTCCAAAGGCGTTCTCCACAACCCTTCTGCACTTTGAGAGAACATAATTGAAACACTTTTCTGTTGGACTAGCAAACTCACTAAATGGATAGGGTTTCATCAAAATATCAGAAAAGCGGAATGCAGAATCTCCCAACAGTAGTGGAGGCACGCACACGCCATTTATTTCAACACAAAATTCTTTCATCATCGGTTTCATATGATGTTGTTTCAATTTAGATTTCTCAAATATTTGAGAATCGTTACAACGACCAGGGCAACCAATGTTAATATACATAAAGCGACATCTTTAATATAGAAGAAGTTATTTAGTGAAGATATTATTTAGGTTTCAATTTATAAATTTTAAATGACTACCTATAGTCTACAGCTGCCAGAAGTACTACAGAATACCAACCCTTGTAGTTGTAATAATCAACGGCTTCTGACTTTCGAGGATGCACTTCAATGTGACAACCGTCTGAAACAAAAAATTTACACACTTATTTCCACATTGGATATTGAGTTACCTATAGCACTAATGCATTGTGGAAACCCTAATATATTAAAACCATTGATGCAATCACGAATTGTTGCTTCATTTAAGGGGTACTGGTTTAAATAAATTGGTTGCATTATTTTCCAGACTTCAGTGCAAAATTCTTTAAGGATTATGCATACAGATGATTTGGACACTCCGAAAAGGTTGCCCACAGTTCTGTACTCCGCGGATGAGCCAAGTGCGTACACTGCAATGGCAACTCTCTTCTCTAATGGAATTGGTCTGCGAAAGTTACTGTTTTGTTTTTTCATACTTTTGACCAAATCGCATAACTCTTTAAAAGTGTCCATTGTCATTCTGAAGTTTTCCTTGAAAAACGATGCATCTCTTTTTGGAACTTCTTCTTCCCAAAAAGTACTTAATCGGAGCTAAAAAATAAGTTTTCAGTTTATATTATATATTTTTTACTTTTATGTTATATATTTTACCTTCATCCAACATTTTTTTGGCACAGGTTCTACTTGGGCTACTAGTGCATTCATTAACAATTGCATTTTTATTTTTTTGTTTTTTTGCTTTCGTTTCGCTTTATTTATACTACTTGTTAATGTGATTACAATAGCTTTTAGTGTTTGTAAATAATTTAATTGTTCTGCAATAATCACTTTTTTATGTTGATTGTTCATTTTTGTAAACAAATGTAAATTTAAACAAAATAAATTACTACTTCAAATGTCAAATAAAATTTACATTCACAAATCAGCTGTTGAGAAATGAGAACGAATGAAATACAACGAATGTAAACACTTTCGAATGAGTCATTCAAAATGAGCCATTTTCGGCCAATGTAAACGCCGTATTAGATTAATGGGTTAAATTTCATTAGAGTGAATGTTAGGTGGTTTCTTAAGAAAGTGGTTCAACTTTAACAGATTACTAAAAAGAAAGGTGCGGTTTCTACTTCAAGCTGTTGAATATTAATTAACGGCTGGACGGTCAGCTCTTTTTAGGCGGGAAGTAATGGATAAAAGTGCGAGATTTCTTGCTAAGGGATTAACATGCTCTGTCAGCCTTTTATTGTATTTTTTTCTTATATTGTCAAATTCAGCTTTAACCAGGGGAATTTGTAGATCTCGGTGTATACTTTCATTCCTAATATACCATGGGGCACCAGTGATAATTCTTAGTATTTTTGACTGAGCTCTTTGTATAATTTCAATATTTGAAACACTAGCATTGCCAAATAGCTGGATACCATAAGTCCATATTGGTTTTATGATGATGTTATACAAGAGTACTTTATACTCTAGGCACAGGGAAGATCTGCTATTAATGAGCCAATGTAACTTAGAGGCTTGGAGCTTCATCAGAATTTTTTTTGCTTCAATATGTTTGCGCCAAGTTAGTCGTCTGTCTAGGTGGATACCTAAGTACGTTATATTATCTGCTTGTGGTATGGGAATATTGTTTAGTAAAATTGTTGGAGATGTACTCCGATTTAAGGTAAAAATGACGTGTCTACATTTTACTTCGTTAATTTTAATTCGCCATTTTGACAACCATTTCTCCACCCGATATAAGTGAGATTGAAATTGGTTTGAAGCTAGCACAGCGTTTCTGTTTCGGCATAAAATTGCCGTGTCGTCGGCAAACGTTGTGGTGATAACTGAACTACTTATCGGGATATCAGATGTGTAAAGTACATACAATATAGGGCCAAGAACACTTCCTTGTGGAACGCCTGCTTCTATTGGGAAATTATTAGAAGTATATGATTTGCATTTCACTTTAAAGCTTCTATTATGCAGATACGATTCTAAAACTGAGTGGACATTTGCAGGTAATGAACAGCGTATCTTATATATCCATTATGCCATACTTTATCAAATGCTTGTTTAACATCGAGGAATACCGCGGAACAATATTCTCTGAGCTCAAATGCGTGTTTTATTTCATTCGTTATACGATTCACATGCTCAATAGTTCCATGTTTTTCCCTAAAACCAAACTGGTGGGACGGTATTAAGTTTTGAACGTCAGGGAACGGTTTTAGCATGCTCTTAAGATTTAGAAAGGCATGGCAGTAAGCTTATTGGCCTGTATGAACAGGCAAGCGTGGGGTCTTTACCTGATTTATGAATTATAATAATCATGGATGTTTTCCACTCTGTTGGATAAAAGCCAAATTTAATTATGGCATTAAAAAGTCTTGTGATAAAATTTATGGCCAAAAGGGGTAAGTTTTTTATCATGATGGGTGAGATATTATCATATCCCGGTGCTTTTTTGCAATCTAACTTATTTGTGATTATTTGAACAAGATCATTGGCCGTGATATTCATGTCAATAGATGGTGCTGGTGGATCTTGAGTGGGAAAGTCATATTGTCCTGCTGCAGGATTTGGTTGGAACACCTCTTTTAGGTAATCAGCAAAAACGTTAGATTTTTCTTCATCACTTCGCGCCCAGTTTCCAAGAGAGTTTCATATTGGAGAATTGGAGTCTATGGGAGGATTTATACCTTTGCTAGCATTCCACAAAGATGAATGGTTTTTGCCATTTGGACATAGGTTTTGAATATAATTATATTGTCTGACTTTGACTTCCTTGCTTAATGCAGATCTAAGTCTCCTTTGGGCTTCCTTAAATAAGTTTTGCGCTAAAGGGGACCTAGATTTTTGCCATTCACGCCTTAATCTACGTTTTTGTAAAACTAAATTCTCTATGTCACTATTTGTAAGAACTCTATTGAATCTGTAAATTTTATTGCCTTTAGGGGTGGAGTTTTCTGCTGCTGAAATCAGAATTGAGTTTAAAACCGAGGTTGCGTCCTCAATATGAGACTTACACTTTATCTTGTAATTTGTGTGTATGTGTGAGTTAATATACTTTTTATATTTGAGCCAGTTTGTTTTAGGACTTGTAAGGCTATAGGAACAGTCTCGTAACTGAGGACCATCACGTAAGCAAAATGTAACTGGAGAATGGTCAGAAGACAAATCGCAGCTAGTGTATGTTGAGATAAAATTTTTGCTTATGCCTTTGGATACGGCGAAGTCTATTAGGTCTGGTATTTTATTGTTATCAGCAGGCCAATATGTTGGCTGCCCAGGAGAGATTACGTCTAGTGAATTTTTTCTATTTACAATTGAATTGCAGAGCTGTTTTCCTTTTGGATTACAGAGTCGTGAACCCCAATACGTGTGCTTGGCGTTGTGGTCTCCCGCCGCAAGAAATCTTTCACCTAGAGTTAAAAAGTAATCCGTAAATTGGGTCTCAGTAATGTTGAAGCGAGGAGGGCAGTAAACTGCCGATAAAGTTAAATTTTTTCCTGTGTGCTTAAGGTGTATTGATGTGGCTTGCATATAATTATGAGCATATGTACCTAGAAAATAGTGTTTTAGACACCTTCGTATCAAAATACCTGTACCACCATGTGCTTTGTCATCTGGGTGATTGGTTTTATAGAATAAATAACCAGGAATAGAAAAGAAATTTTTGTTAGTTAGATGTGTTTCTGAGCAAAGCTTTACATCCACACTTTCTCGGGACATGAAATTTGTGAGTTCAAGTTTAAGTTGGCTTAAGCCGTTTGCATTCCATGTACAAGTTTTTAAAGTACTCATTATTTAGATAAAAACATTTGCATTAATTGGCTTTGCATTTTAACTATCTCGTTAAGAGTAGTTTGCATGATTGACATGAACTGAGTTAAGCTCTGAGTGAGTGGAGATCATTATTTCCAAACTATTACTTTGAACTGGAGGGGCTTGTTGCTTGTCAGATTTAACGACATTAGCATATGAAACACCTGGTGTAACAGGCTTAGAAGTTAAAGGTTGAGGTACTTCAACTAATTTAATGGTGTTGCTTCTTGTAGAATTACGCAACGCTTCTTTCTGCAGAGCTAACCTGTGCTTTAGTTCTTTATAAATAGGACAGCCTCTGTAGTTTGCAGTGTGATTTCCACTGCAGTTGCTACATTTTTTGGAGTTGGTATCCTTTAATGCTTTTTTATCGCATTCGGAACTATGGTGAAGCTCGCCACAAGCTACGCACACTGTACGAAGAGTGCAATATGACTTAGTATGGCCATACTCTTGGCAGTTTGTGCATTGCACC